AGGGAGAGGGAGGGAGGGAGGGAGAGAGAGAGAGAGGGAGGGCTTCATGGAGGGGATCCCTGAGGCTGAAGCTCAAGAGGGAGGTGAGGTCTAGAGTCAGATGTGGGGGGAGGGTGTGGGCATCAGTGCAGAGGTGGGAAACTGAGGCCAAGGAGATGGGGAGACCCTGGAGGGTGCAGGGAGTAAGGAGAAAGGGGGAAGGGAAAGCCTTTAGCGGGTGTATATGTTAGGAACGCTTAGGTTACAAGCAGCAGAAACCCCCACTCAGACGAAAACGTTGAAGATACGTATTATGGAGGCGGGGGCTGGAACCAGAGGTGGCAAGGCTTCTGTGAAGTAGAGATGACACCGCCCAGAGCGGGCATGCGGGCCCACATGGTACTGGCTGGGGTCGGAGGCCCCCGTGCCCCTTGCACGCACGCGCGCACGCGCACACGCGCACACACGCACACACGCACACACGCACACACGCACACACGCACACACACACACACACACCCGGCTGCCCGTCCTCAGATCTGGTACCTCCTGGAGGGCAGCTACAACGTGTACAAGCTGTTCCCGTCCGTGGGCTGGGAGGTGCTTGTCAGCCTGCAGGTGATGCACCAGTCATCTCTGTACACCACCAGTGAGACCATGGTCACCCTCTTCTACGAGCAGAGCAAACTGTACCAGGTGCCAGCTGGAGGACCCGGGGGGACGGGGGTGTGCCACACGGTGGCTGACGCCAGCTCACCTGGCCCTGCCTTCCCGCGGCAGCTGGTGTACCTTCTGAAAGGCCGGGAGAGCCGGCTGGTCAAGAGGCTCGTGCCTGTGGAGCAGCTCCTAGTCTACCAGAAGCTCAAAAACAGCTATGTCTTGGAGAGCCAAAGGTGAGAAGACACTGGACCATGGCCGTGGTCAGAGAGCCCCAGGCGCTGCCCTCAGGAAGCTTCCATTCCCGTAGGGGAGACCGAGCCCTCCCCAGTCACAGCCCCAGGGCCATGGTGGAAACCACTCAGTGCCCAAAAGCTCAGAGGAGGGGCCTGAGCCAACCTGCAGGGAGGCGCAGTAGGGAAGGCTTCATGGGGGAGGAATGCCTGAGCTGTGACCTAAAGGATGGGAACGAATTAGCCAGCTGATAAGGTGGGGGAGGGTGTGCCAGATACCGGGGAACCGCATGTGCAAAGGCCTTGAGGAGGGGCTCTTCAGTGTGCCTCAACTGGAAGTACAGTGCAGACGGAGCACAGTGATGATGAGAGAGGGGACACAGGCTGGTGGTCATAGGGAGGAGCTGGGACTTCATCTAGAGGGTCCTGGAGAGCAACAAATGGCACTAAAGGGAGGGACGACATGGTCAGGCTTCACCGTGTTGACGATGAACCCTCTGCTTACCTGAGTGCGCGGGTGGAGTAGAGGCTTAGGGGTCGGAGTAGCAGGCCATTGGGGACTGGGGTGAGGGGGTGTCTAGGAAGAGGTGCAGGACTCTGGCGTGGGGGACTGAAGGACGTCTAGGGGGTTGTGTCCAGAGGCCTCTGGGCACCAGCCGCTGAAGCTCGGGAGATGAGAGTTAGCTTTGGGGAGTCGGCAGCGCAGAGGCGGGAAACCGGGCTGCGAAGCGCCTGGTGCCCCGGGCTCTGAGAGTCAGCCGCCGTCCCCCACTGCCGCCGGCCAGGAACTTCTTGACGCCCACCTTCACCAACTTCTGCCCCTTCACGGTGATGCGCCTGCAGGACCTCCCCGACCCGCAGAGATACACGCGCCAGGAACGCTACCGGGCGCTGCCACCGCGCGTCGTGGAGCCCTCGGGCTTCCACAATGAGCACTCGCTCGCTATCTACCAGGGCCTCGTCTACTACCTGCTCTGGCTGCACTCCAAGTACGACAAGGTGGGCGCCCGAGCCAGGACCCAGGGGAAGTCGGCGAAGAGGGTCGGGCCTGTCCGGGGGTGGTGTTCGGAGAGCGAGTGTGGAGGGTGAGTCAGCGGAGCAGGACTGGAGTGTGCGAGGCCACGGAGGGGAAGGGGGCATGGGCTGGAGGCGCGGCCTGGCTTGAGCGCGGCCTTAAAGACATGGCGAACCGTGGTGGCGCCATGGTTAAAGCGCTCCGCTGCTAACCGAAAGGTCGGCAGTTCAAACCCACCAGCGGCTCGGTGGGAGAAGGACGTAACAGTCTGCCTTCTTAAAGATTACAGCCTTGGAAACCCTATGGAGCTGTTCTACTCTGTCCTATGGAGTCGAACTCGACTCCATGGCAACGGGTTTGGGGATTTGAAGAGATGGCTTTAGGCTGTGGCCGGGCTGCTTTGGGGCTGGATGCAGGGCTTGGGGACCGGCCTGGGTATGTCGTGCCCGATTTGGGTTAGGGGCTGAAACTGAGGCTAGGCGGGGATCAGGGAAAGGCTCCTGCCTGGTGACGTGGTCCACACTTCACGGTGTCCGGCGGTCCCTGCAGCCATATGCGGACCCAGTGCACGACCCCACCTGGCGCTGGTGGAAGAACAAGAAACAAGACCAGGTGCGTGGAGAGTGTTGGGAGTCGAGAGGGTGAGGGGGCGCCGAGGTACCCGGCGGTGACTTGCCGGCGCATCCCGTTCCCCCCCACCCCCCAGAGTTACTACTTCTACCTGGCGAGCAACCCGCGGAGCACAGGTGGCGCGTACATTGAGATGGACAGCTATGAAAAGATCTACGACCTCAAGGCCGAGGCCGAGCTGCCCGAGCGCATTTTCCTAGACAAGGGCTCCACCTACAGTTTCTCGGTCTTCCTCACTGCCCGGGGGCACGCCTTCAGCATCAATCAGATGTTGGGTCTGTGGGCGGGGCCTGAAGGGAGCCCCAGGGGCAGGGCGAGGGCTGCCTGGAGGCTGCGAGTTCTGGAGGGCTTGGGTCTGGGACCTGGGCACTGCCCGAGGGGCAGAGCTTGAGCCTTAACCACTCCCTCTGCCCGGAGCAGGCTCCCCCTTCCTTCTGGATAGCCATTTGGGCCTGGGAGTGGTACTGGCCGACCCCGCCTGCCTCGAGGTGATGGTGTCACAGAGCATCCTTGTTAATCGCAACTCTGCGTCCTTCCGGGTGAGACCCGCGGGGAGGGGCTGCCGAGATGGGGCGGGGCTTCCAGAGTGGTGAGGACTGTGAGTCTGCTCCCTGAGAGGAGGAAATGGAAGCCCACTGTCCCCCTCCTGCACCCACTGTGGTTCCTGTGAACCAGCTAGCTCCTTTACCCCACCATTTCTGCCCCACCCCCTGCCCCCAGGTTATGCTCAAAGATACAAGCGTCTGCTTTGCCCAGGGCATCAGTGGGCACCATCTCAAGAGGACCTCGATGCTGGTCAAGGTGCGACCCAAGTCTGGAGGGGAGGGACGTGGGATTAGGGGAAAGATGGGGCCTACGGGACCATCATCTCCCCCTCTCCTCCCCGCAGGTGGTGGGCTCGGCCGGGCACTGTTTCCGGAACACCCATCAGGGGCCGCGCATGCAAGTACTGGAGCTTGGGGTGCTGGGCCCTGTGCTGGGAGGGAGGGATGTAGACAGCCGGGTCTCCACAGGGCTGAAAAGTCATTTAAAGACTGAGGGGCCTGCTTGCCGAGTGCCCACCCTGGGGATCCCACTAACGCATTCCTGGTCTTCTTCTCTCATTCATTGTCTTCACTCCCCCCCCCCGCCCCCACTCCTTTCATCCATTAATGTTCTCACGCAGGGCTGCCTTTCCAGCTGTGTTGTAGGGTGCACACCAGCTCCTCTGCTGTCCTGGCACTCCTGCAGGGGGAGGTCAGTGCCACGCGGGCCAGCTGGGCCCTGCTTTCACACCTTGCTCTCCATTTGTCGGCTCAGAGGATTCTTTTGTTCACTCCTTTGGGTCCTTGGTTCTTCACTTGCCCACACATGCAATACCCCCTTGCAAACACTGAGGCTCAGAGAGGTGCAGGCATCCACTCAGAGTAACCCAGGGAGCTAGTAAGTGGTAGAGGAGAGAACAGACCCAGAGACCTTGCTGTCACCTTCAACCCTGCCCCACCCTCCCACAGCCAGGCCCTGATGCTCCTCCCTTCTGGCTTGGAATGACCATGACCAGCAAAAAGGGGGTTGTACAGCCCCACCTCCTTAGGGTACATGAGGTAATCCAGGTCAAGTGCACTGAAGAACGCCTGACCTCAAGCGTGCAATCAGTGCTTCCTGTGATCCTTGATGATAATCCTTATTTTACTCTCTCATAACCCCAGGAGGTCGGAGCTAACATCCCCATTCTTAGCATTTTACCCCAGACTCAGCAGACCCCTTCTGGAAAATTAACCTGCCGCTCAAAGTTGTTGTAGATTTGTCTGTTATAACAAAAGATTGGAACTAACCTAAATGTCCATCAACAGGGGAGTGGTTCAATAAATCATACTATGCAGCGGTAAAAAAGAGAACAAAGGGAATTTCCACATACCAATCTGGAATGACATCCAAAGTGTGTTTTATTGTCAAGAGGCAAATGAGAACATATATTCATGTTTGTTTTTATTTGCAAACACTTTTATCTGGAAACACATATAAGAAAGTGTAACAGTGGTTCCCTGCTTTGGAAAATAGGGGAGATGCTGGACAGTGGGGGATGGAAGTGAGATTTTACATATTTATCTTCATACATACACATACACTCCTTCCCTGGTTGGCACGCAGTCGGTTAAGTGCTTGACTGCTAGTCAAAATGTCGGTGGTTCAAACCTACCTAGAAGCGCCTGGGAAGATAGGCCTGGCCATCTACTTCTGAAAGTTCGCAATCTTGAAAACCTCGTGAGCAGTTCTGCCCCGCGCACATGGGGTCGCCGCCAGTCAGAATCGACTGGGCGGCAACTAACAACAATAATATATACATGTATTTTTTGAACTACGAGCCCATATTTTAAGTTTTAAAAAACGCCAATGAATTTTTTTTTTTTAATCTTCATTTTACAGACAAGGAAACAGGTGGTGGGGAAGGTGGGGTGTAGTGTGAGCTTTTGTTTCTTCGTATTCCCAGGCTGGGGCCTTCCAGGTTTCTCATGCCTCTCTTTCCCCAACACCTCATCAGGAGATCAAGCGGCATGTGCGTTCAGAAGGTTTAGAGCCTCTCCCTGGCTCCCCATCCTGGAAAAAATGGAAATCGGAACTAACTACACACAGTGGGTTCTCCACCAGTAAATGTTTTGGATGAAAGAAACCAAAAAAGACCAAACCCCTTGCTGTTGAGTCGATTCCGACTCATAGTGACCCTATAGGACAGAGTACAACTGCCCCCACAGGGTTTCCAAAGAGCACCTGGTGGATTTGAACTGCTGACCTTTTGGTGAGCAGCCATAGCGCTTAACCACTACACCACCAGGGTTTCCGAATGAAAGAAGGAAGAAACTCATTTACACAGAATAGGTGCTCAGTCAGTTTGGGTTGGACGGGCTGAGGCTTTGGGGCTTCTCTGGGGCCTGGGACCAAGCCCATAGACCAGGAATACATTTACCTCCCTGAGTATGCAGCTTATTTACTCACTCAACTGAAATTTAGTGAGTGCCTACTACGTGCCAACAGTGTTTTAGGTGGGGCTGATGTCCCAGTGGGGGAGATAGACAATAAGCAAGATAAAACATTGTATGTTTAAGAGGTGAGATGGCCTAGGAGAAAAATAAAGCAGGCAAGGGACATGGGGGAGGCTGCCATTTTCAGTAGGGTGGTCGGGGAAGGCCTGGCCCGAGAGGAAACGTCAGAGCAGAAACTTCAAGGAGAGGAAGAAGTGCGCAGTAAAGGCCTGCCCGGCAAACGGAGCAGATGACAGCATGGCCTTGGGGCAAGAGCATGTCTCCTGTATAAAACTAAAGGAACAGTGAGCATCAGGGTGAGCAAGGTGGAAGTGGAGAGAGATGAGGTCAGATGTGGGGGCTGTGGTGAGTGAGATGGAGCAGGGCGTGATTGGGCAGAGGTGTTTATAGGGTTCCTCTGGCTTCCTTTGGGGGAACAGACTGGAGTGCGGGCCTGGAGCAGGGAGACCAGGCAGGAGACAGGGTTAGACAGTAGCAGGGTGGGGGCAGAGAGGTTGGGGAACGGGTGGGTTCCAGGTCTGCTTTGTAGACTTGAGACAACAGGATGTGCCGATGGCCTGCATGTGGGTGTGAGAGAAAGAGAGGCTTCAAGGATGTGGTCGGGGATTGTGGCCTGAATGGCCAGAGGGATGGAGAGGCCCTGCACAGAGATGGGGAAGACGGGGGTTCTGAACAGACTGAGGAGCCCGGCAGACCTCTCTGTGAGGGAGAGGCTGATAAGAGGTCAAAGCCTGGCTCGGGAAGTGCTTAGCTCTGGCCACTGACCCTTTTCCCCAGCCTCCATGAAGCCCAGGTCACGGTGTCCGGATGCCCATGACCGCTTGACAATTGGGTGAAACTCTCAGGTCCTGCCCCCTAAGTAGGCCCAGGGGCTTTTAATTCTGAAGACAGTGCCTTTCCTCATATATCCCACGTGCCCACGGGTCTGTTCTTCAAGAATTCAGGCCTAGCTTCAGGTCTATAAAGCTCCGACCAGGAGTTGGCCATCCATAGCTGTAGATGTTGGTGGTTGTATGTGCTCTCGTCTGGGGACAGCAGGCGCCAACCTGCCTCAGCTCCAGTCCTAGCTCTACCGCTTACCAGCTGTGTGGCTTTGGGTAATTAATCAGCTGCTTGACCTCTCTGGGCCTCACTTTCACCACCTCTAGAATGAGGATATTAATAGTGTCTACCATGCAGGGCTAGTTTGAGGATGAAATGAGCTTGAATATGTATAGCAGTTAGAAACCTCTCAGCCCCCTGCACACGATATAAGCTATACAAGTGTTTGCAGTTATCAAAAGTTATTTAAATGATAAAAATGATCATATTGCCCTCGGCGGTGAGGGTGAGCCGGCCAGGTGATGGGGGTTGTGGGGTGTCCGGGGAACCTCCCCCAGTCTGGCGGGGCCTGAGGACACCATGTACATCCCCCAGCGCTACGCTTTTCCTCCTTCCGCTCAGGGCAACCTGATGGTGCCAGTGCTTATCGGCTGCCCGCCGGGCAAGCGCCTGGCCTTCGACATCACCTTCACGTTGAACTACAACCGCGTGGTGAATAAACACTACTTCGACTGCGTGCAGGTGGACCCCGAGATGCCCTGCTTCCTCTTCCGCGACAGTGCGAATCCCGCCCGCCCTCGGCATGCTTCGCTGTCCTCTAGCCCCTACCACCTGTGGCCACCTCCCTGCCCGTGCCCTTCCTTTCCCGCTCCCTCAGGTCCAGCTCTCCTCTCCTCCCCTCCTTCCGATCATCTCAGTCTTTCCCACGGCGCCCCCTCCCTTCCCCCTCCTCTCTGCCTCCCGTCCGCTTTCTCCCCCACCTCTGCGTCATCTTTCCTTTCCCTCCTCCCATTTCTCCCCGCTGTCTCCCACCATCCCTCCCTCCCTCCTTTCCTCCCACTGCTCTGTCCCTCCTCCCTTCCTTTCCCACCGTCCTTTGCTACGTCCCTATTTCCCACCCATCTCTCCTTCCTCCCTTCCCCGTCCTTCGCTTCTCCGGCCAAACTAATGCCTTCTCCTCTGTGTGAAACCTCTCCTACCCCTCAGTCTTGTACCCCTTCTTCTTGATCCAAGATTTGGTGACGGGAGACTCCGGCAGTTTTCAGGGCAGGTAAGGGCACGGCCAGCCTTGTCTAGGCGGCGGGGTAGGGGAACGCAGGATTCAGGACCTCCGGCCGATCCATGTGCATCTCTGCCCCGGCAGATACGTGCTGAAGGTGGTGGGCGGCGGGCCCACCCTGGACACCATCAGGGACTACAGCCAGGAGGAAATCTACCGCTACAACAACCCCCTGGACAAGTAATCCCCGTGGGGCCACGCCCATAACCGGCCTGCCTTCCCCTGCAGGCGCCTTCCGCAGACCTCCCCATCCTGCAAATCCCACCGCACAGCCCTATCTCAGGCCGCGCCCATGCCGCG